CGAAGGCAGTCGCTTAACCAACTGAGCCACCCAGGCGCCCTCACTTCTAGATCTTATCTATTGATTTCCTTCTAAGGAAGGTAAGGATTTGGCTCCAGTCACCTTTCTCTCTCCACCCCTGTCTGAAGCACAGTCTCCTTTCCCTCCCTCTCATAGTGTTATGTCACAAATTTTGGCTATGTCAGTATCCTTTTGCTTGTTGAAGACTTAAATATCGTTTGCAGCAAGGTATTGTCTGTTCCATGATTATAGTTCCCTTTTATACATAACCCTTGCCCTCTCCCCTGCTTAGTTTCTTATATAGCTTTCATTAATTCAGCCCTGGACTCTGACAGAAGTGAAAGAGCATTCACACATTCGGTACCCTGTGATTCTTACGTATTTTCTTGGGAAGGTCTCTCCTGGAGCTCTCTGTTCTTTTGCTACTCTCTGGACTGACTGGTCTCCAGACCTCCTGCCCAGCTCTCATCCCAGGGAGGCCCTTCCTTCACCATCATCTGGGGATCTCCCTTTGTCTTCTTCTGGCTGGATCTCCTCTTTTCTGTTTCTCTAGCTTCCTCTTTCTTGTTTTACCTCCTCACTCCGGTGGAGTACATCCTCAAGCTGGTTTCTGCGAAAGGAGTGTATGGGAGTTAACTTTTCTGAGAACTTTACATATCTGAACATGTTCCATTCTGCCCTCCCACTCAGTTGATAGTAGTACTGGGTATAAAAATCAAGGTTGGAAATCATGTTGAGGATTTTAGAATGTTTGCTGATTGCCAGCTTCCAGTGTTGCCCTTAAGAAGTCTAATGCCATTATCTCCTAATCCTTTTTTTTTTTTAATTTAATTTTTGGAGAAATTCAGCTTTAACTTCCAACTTTCTCTTGATTTGTCTGCCATCATATTTATAATTTTCAAGAATTCTTTCCTTTCTAAATACTATTATTTGTAACAAACTGCTCTTGCTAGATGTATATATTCTTTTCACTGAGGATATTCTAGTCCGTTTTTTTTTTTTTTTTTTTTTTGGTTCTCGTTCTATAAATAAGAGGGACTGAAAAATGTTGATGGTCTTTAAAACATTAGCATTGTTTTCACCAAGGGTGGTATAGTTCTTTTTGTTGTTCTGTCCCGTGTATTATCTGCTTCTTACTAGTCACTTTTAGCTTATTTATTTATTTTTAAGTAATCTCCACACCCAACATGGGGCTCTTACTAGTCACTTTGGGCTAGGTTTTTGTCTCTATCATTTTGGAGGCTTTCCTTAAATGCCTGGTGATCCTTGACCATCCTTTAATGTTTTTAGGAGTGAAGCACTAAAGAGCAGCATC